GCAATTTTAAGCTAAGGGTATTTAAGGCAATGCTCTCTTTCATTTTTAAGTAATAAAATTATCTAAGTGAGGACACAATAATATTAAATAATATAATAATCACTAGGTAACCTACTTAAAAAGAAATTTAAACAACGATCAAAGACCTTAGTCTCTTTAACACATAGTACTAGAACAACTGGATATCCATATGCAAAAAAGAAAAAAGAACTTTGATTCATACCTCATAAAAATAAACTCAAAATGGATCATAAAACCTAAATAAAAAACTAAAAATCTAAAATTTCTAGAAGGAAACAGGAAAAAATCTTTGTGACCCTAATTAGGCAAAGATGTCTTAGATATGACACCAAAATCCCAATCTACATGAGAATAAGTGATAAGACTTCATTAAAATTAAATGAGTTTCTTCTCAAGTTACTGCTTAGTGAATAAAAGGACAAATCACAGACTGAGAGAAAATATTTGCAAATCACATGTCTGATAATGGACCTGAATATAGAATACATAAGAATACATAGAATACAAAAGAAATATAAAAATGCTCAGTATCATTTGGCATTAGGGAAATGCAAATCAAAACCACAATGAGATACAACTTCATACCCACCAGGATGGCTAAAATCAGAAAAACTGACAAAACCAAATAAAGACAAGGATGTGGAGCAACTAGCACACTCATTTATTCTTGGTGGGAATGCAAAATGGTACAAACACTTGGAGACCTGGTTTGGAAGTTTCTTATAAAGCTAACAGTACACTTATCATACAATCCTGCAATATGCCACCTGTAGGTATTTACCAAAGTTCAATGAAAGCCTATGTTCCCACAAAAACTACACAAATATTCACAGCAGTGTTATTCATAACAGTCAGAAATTGTAAATAACCCAAATGCACCTCTTCTGAAGAATGGGAAAAAAAACATGCTGGAAGATTACTCAGCAATAAAAAGGGACAAACTATTCCATTCGATACAAAAACACATATGAATCTCAAATGCATCATGCTAACTGAAAGAAACCAGACTCAAAAGAGCATACACTGAATGACTCCATTTATATGACATTCTTGCAAAAGGGAGATAGATCAGTGGTTCCCAGTGGAGTGGGGCTGACTGCACAGGAGCACAGGACAAGGGGTGGCAGGTGACCAAACTGTTCTTTATCTTATCATGGTAGAAACATAACTGTATACACATGTCAAAACCTGAAAAATTTTACACTGAAAAAGATGAATTTTAATGTATGTAAATTACAACTTAATTTACAAAACAAACCCAACATTCACACCAAATTAGAAAAATGACTTAAAATTAAGGGAAAAACAACTTTACCTAGCTCAAACTGAACATGAACAGCAGTGCCCACTTTGGGCTACCCATATTTAAGGAGAGAATGTAAAGAAAATAGAAATCTACCCTGAAAAGTAAATAAAACAAACAGGTACAACTATTCCTTCAAATACACTGTAATTTCAGGGTCAGATTTCCTGTTAATGGAAATTTTGCCTTTTAACTAAAAAATAGGAGGTGGGTCAGGCCAGTGGAAACAGCTGCTTAGTTTAATTGGGAATGACTGACTTTTCACACTGATTACTACCCAGTACCTTGGGTCTTTTTGGCTTTTAAGTAATCAATCAACTGATTTTCAGTCTCTTAACTTAAATGCTTGAAAGATAACTTGAACTACATATTTTTTCAGAATGTTCTTTATTCTACATATGCATGCTACCACACCATTCTTCAGCATTCAGCATGTCTGCCAGCATCCAGCATACCATAAGCAAGTGTTTGGAATCCACTCTCCTCTTAGGCAGACCATAAAGTATGTCTGTATTTCATTTCATCAAATCTAAGATGCCCATGAAATGTAAATCTTATCACTGTGTTATTTACCATTTTAAAAAAAAACCTCTTGCCAATGTAAATGATGTGCTTTCTTATTCCTTATAGTTATTGTAAAAGTTCTTGTAGACACACACATATATGCTTCACGAATACCAGATTTATTCCCTGCTATTGTTTCCATGCCATTCTGCAATACAACAACTTTTGTTTCAATATCAAATCATAATACAATCTTCTTGAAAACATTTTAGAAGGCAATAAAGTTCAACACATGTAGTACCAACAGTGTGCAGAATTAAACTCAATTACAAAGTGAACAGCTTTGACCAGGTTTGACTTGGACAGAGACAACTGCACCCTAAATTCTGTTGGGCCTAAAGCAATTATAAGGTGCTATCAATCAGAGAAGCAATCCTACTTTCAAAATGTCAAAATATTTAAAAATGCACACCTTTGAATCACTGCCACACAGTAACATAAAATCTGTATATATTCTCACTCACACTGGAAAACATTTTTCCACTGCTCTATGTAATAACTTTTCTGCTGTCTTTTGGGTTTTAGGCCCTCATAGACACTGGGTAAAATCCATTTAAGTCATAGCACTTGCCCTTGAATCTGGTGAGAGGGACCAACATAGAAAGAAATATTTATAATATAAAACAAGAACAGCCATAATGGAAGTATGACAAAGCGGAACAGCGGAGACAAAAATTACATTACTCTGCCTAGGGGAGCTGCATTCCTATTCAGTGCCATAATTTTCATGACTCTATTCCCAAGAACATAAAGCCTTTCCATTTTTACGTGCTCCGACTCAGGAAATTTCTTGAATTTGGAACTTGGATCCTCAGACATTAGGAAGTACTCTTTGGCACACTATTATTAAAATGGAAGTAAATAATTATTTGATGTTTTAAAAAAGGTAAGTATAAAAACTTTCCCAGAGAGAAAAGTCACATTAATGTATCAATTGTAATACCCTTAGCAATTTTAAGCTAAGGGTATTTAAGGCAATGCTCTCTTTCATTTTTAAGTAATAAAATTATCTAAGTGAGGACACAATAATATTAAATAATATAATAATCACTAGGTAACCTACTTAAAAAGAAATTTAAACAACGATCAAAGACCTTAGTCTCTTTAACACATAGTACTAGAACAACTGGATATCCATATGCAAAAAAGAAAAAAGAACTTTGATTCATACCTCATAAAAATAAACTCAAAATGGATCATAAAACCTAAATAAAAAACTAAAAATCTAAAATTTCTAGAAGGAAACAGGAAAAAATCTTTGTGACCCTAATTAGGCAAAGATGTCTTAGATATGACACCAAAATCCCAATCTACATGAGAATAAGTGATAAGACTTCATTAAAATTAAATGAGTTTCTTCTCAAGTTACTGCTTAGTGAATAAAAGGACAAATCACAGACTGAGAGAAAATATTTGCAAATCACATGTCTGATAATGGACCTGAATATAGAATACATAAGAATACATAGAATAGAAAAGAAATATAAAAATGCTCAGTATCATTTGGCATTAGGGAAATGCAAATCAAAACCACAATGAGATACAACTTCATACCCACCAGGATGGCTAAAATCAGAAAAACTGACAAAACCAAATAAAGACAAGGATGTGGAGCAACTAGCACACTCATTTATTCTTGGTGGGAATGCAAAATGGTACAAACACTTGGAGACCTGGTTTGGAAGTTTCTTATAAAGCTAACAGTACACTTATCATACAATCCTGCAATATGCCACCTGTAGGTATTTACCAAAGTTCAATGAAAGCCTATGTTCCCACAAAAACTACACAAATGTTCACAGCAGTGTTATTCATAACAGTCAGAAATTGTAAATAACCCAAATGCACCTCTTCTGAAGAATGGGAAAAAAAACATGCTGGAAGATTACTCAGCAATAAAAAGGGACAAACTATTCCATTCGATACAAAAACACATATGAATCTCAAATGCATCATGCTAACTGAAAGAAACCAGACTCAAAAGAGCATACACTGAATGACTCCATTTATATGACATTCTTGCAAAAGGGAGATAGATCAGTGGTTCCCAGTGGAGTGGGGCTGACCGCACAGGAGCACAGGACAAGGGGTGGCAGGTGACCAAACTGTTCTTTATCTTATCATGGTAGAAACATAACTGTATACACATGTCAAAACCTGAAAAATTTTACACTGAAAAAGATGAATTTTAATGTATGTAAATTACAACTTAATTTACAAAACAAACCCAACATTCACACCAAATTAGAAAAATGACTTAAAATTAAGGGAAAAACAACTTTACCTAGCTCAAACTGAACATGAACAGCAGTGCCCACTTTGGGCTACCCATATTTAAGGAGAGAATGTAAAGAAAATAGAAATCTACCCTGAAAAGTAAATAAAACAAACGGGTACAACTATTCCTTCAAATACACTGTAATTTCAGGGTCAGATTTCCTGTTAATGGAAATTTTGCCTTTTAACTAAAAAATAGGAGGTGGGTCAGGCCAGTGGAAACAGCTGCTTAGTTTAATTGGGAATGACTGACTTTATGCAACAAAGCATACAATGCAGGGAGCTAAGTCAATGCAAAACCAGTAGTCATCAAACAGCAGCAACATACCACACAAAATACTTTTTGTTAGAATTTGAAATAACAAAGTTAGTTACAGCAACTCCTACTACTGTGTCTCAAAAGCAAAGCAGCTGTTTAAATGGACATCTTTCTAACTGACGTGTGCTAGCATTCAGCATATTTTATGAAAAAAAAAGCACAGGCAAACACTTAGCTAGAAAAATATGAGTCTTTGCCAAGTTGACATGTGACTTAAGCTATCCATCATAAGCATTTTACAGGACTGACTTTCCATGAATTTTTTTATTGATATGTTCTGAAGTGAATATCACTTAAAACATTTAAACATTTTTGTCGGTTTAAAAAAACATAATTATTCTTATTAAAAAAACATGAATTGTTCTTAAGAAAGAGTGTTCACTTTTTCCCTAAAGTGTTCTATTATTTTGACATGCCACATTCTGAAGGGAGGAATAGATCAAAAAAAAGAAAAAAAAGAAACCAAAAAAAAGTGTGTTATGATATAGAGCTTTACTAGACAGAGTTAAAATTCTGTGGATGAGCAGTGAATGAGGAATTAAAGATCTCCATAAGCAGTTCTACTCTGACACTATGTAACCATTAATTAATCCAGTCTTCTGAGCTCTCCGGGTCTCAGTTTCTTCAACTGTAAACTGAGGTGTTGGATTAGGTTTTTAAAAAAGAACACCTATGATAAACTAAATACACAATACAGATCTGACAGTGCCCTGAGAACCCTTATGCAACGGTCGTGATAGTTTTTTGGAAAAAAACACTATTGCCTTTGTACACAATAATTCTTTATTTTAGGAAGAAAATGGAAAAGCCTTTTTTTACGGAAGAAAACGGCAAGTGTTATGAATATTGTGACCCAGAATCAAACTCTCTCTTAATTATCATGACATCTTTTCAAATGAACAAGAATCTCTAAAGGTGACCAATCTGATTAAAGAATAGACATGTTAAGCTGAGATTTCCCAAAATACAGTGGCTCTCTTAATCAGCAAACTGCCTTCCTTCACTAACAGTGAAGTGTCTAGCATCTTCCCTGTATCTTCTTTACCCAACTTGTTGAAACTGACATTAAAACCAAAAACTACAGAACAAAGGAAAAATTCTCCAGGTTTTTCCCCTTGCCTCTTTTCCAACATTTTAATGAATTTGGGCATCTTCCCACCAGCCACTAGTAGCGGTCATCCTTCAGAACCCTGACATGCGTGCTCATGGCTAATCAACTTCCTTGTCATTGCTTTCCAGCCTTTGAGTTTTGAAAGCAAGAAAAGCTACACCTTAAAAGTGGAAGGAGCCAATCCACACCTAGAGGCGCGTTTTCTGAACCTGGGCCCGTTTCAGGACACAACAACAGTGCACATCAGTGTGGAGGATGTGGATGAGCCCCCTGTATTTGAACCTGGCTTTTATTTTGTGGAGGTTCCTGAGGATGTGGCAATTGGAACGACCATACAGATCATTTCTGCCAAGGATCCAGATGTGACCAACAACTCAATCAGGTTTTTCCACAAATTTCACCTTTCTCTTATGTCTTGGAATCTTCCCTTCCCTGGTATCTAATTTTCTAGCACTTTTTACTTCTTCCATCTTAGAGACTCTCCTCTTGAAGTTCTTTCTGTTTAAATAACATGGCCTTTTCATGTTATTAGACATGAAGAATCATTATGTCTACAGCTGTCAACTGGTTCAGCAACATACACACACACACACCCTTCATTCTCAATCGTGGCCCTTACTGACATTTTGGGCTGGACAATTCTTCGCATGAGCTGCTGTCCTGTGCACTATACATGTGCAGCAGTATCTCTGATCTCTACCCACTAAATGCCAGAAATGCCAGTAGCACCCCAAGTTGTAACAAGCTAAAATATCCCCAGATACTGCCAAATGTCCCAGGAGCAGAAAAGGGTGGGACCAAAATAATCCCCAATTAAGAACAATGAATTCAAAGCACAGACACACTGCTATCAAAATATGGTGAACATGAAGGTGATCACTGCACGTTCTTCATTATGAACATCTGACATTTTTACTGCTAAAAAAAATACTATATACATTTCCATATAGTAGAGAAAGAATAGACATAGAAACTACTCCTGCTGTCAATGGCCTTCAATGCCTTATAGACTGGCCAGACAGAGCTTGCTACTGCGAGCCCACATATCAGTATCTCTAAGCAAGTTTTTAACTTAAAGACTCCAACCTAAATGTTTCCCTGTTTCCCCCTCAAAGCAGGGAGGAGAGCTGCTCTTACAGACACGGCCATTTCCCATCAACTCAGGAACCAAAGAGCAAACAGCTGGTAGACAGGCTGACACCTCAACCTTCCAGAGCAACTGCCAAGCCTCTGAAGCTTGATACAAAAGATCAGGATTCCAGGGCTGTTTGAGGCCATCTGTCACATTAATTGTTGAAAGCCACATGGTAAAATGGATCTGGCGCTTTAGTGAAGATTACACATTTTAAACACAACCCCAATTTATCAAATGCCTTTTTCTGTCAGTGGTTACTTCCCTTACCTGGTACTATTCTGGATTTAATGAAAATGTGGGTCTGCAGTTTAACTCTCAGCTTCTCTCCTGAGAATAACAATACTGGGGGAAATCTGCTTCCTCTAAACAATTAGTAAACATTTCACATTTTCAGGCATTAAAATAGCTAAAATGACTTTGTTTGAATTCTGATACTTGATTTTTAGAAAGCAAATTATCTTTCTACTATGAATTATACCAATCTTAAAGGAGTGATATTTTAAGCTTAAGCCTTTTAAATGTACAATAGGGTGGGGACAAGTTATGAAATCATATTATCCCCAAAGCAAGCACAACGTAAGTTAAACAGATTCTGTTATAAACTTCTATTTCAGAAACCAACAAATATATCTACCTTCTGATAAACTAATTCATCTGTACATATTAGAGAAGACACTGTGGGAAAATTTTTGGAGACTGTAACTTTCAGGAGGAAAAGGTTTGAAATAAAACAAGCAAAAGCTTGAGAAAAATCATTTCCCATTGATAAAATAGCAAGTCAGAATACTAACTGGATACTGCCACATCTTTCAAGATTCTGACTTTGGACTCCTGCACGAAAGCCCTGGAAATGTGGTTCTGAACTATAGGAGTCACAATACTAAATGATAAGCAAATCAGGAAACACACACACACACACACACCCTACAGTTTGTGTGCACGATTTGGGACTAAATGTTAGGCATCATGTTAAGACTTAGTTGGGAATGAAAGAGAATCACCAGCAGGGCACAGAACAAAATGAGGCACGCAAATGAAGGAATGGAATCCTGTCTGGCTAACAGAAAACGCTGCTTCAGATGATGTGACTCTGAAAACCATCAGTTGGCTGGCACGACACAGCAGCTAGCATCAGGGAGGCACATAATGGAGTGCCTGTCTATTCCAACAGACCCCAGGCAGGAGCAATCCAAGAATGAACAGACCAGAGGCACAGAGCAGGATACACTGGGGTTATTCTGGGGCAGGACTCTAGGGCCTAAGAGAGAAACTGGCAAAAACAAGGCAACAGCCACAGGCCTGGAGGTAACAAGATAAGCATTCAGGAACAGGGGCAAGAAGTCCACTGGTCAGCACTGGGGATGACTCTCCGTCTGCAGTTCTGTTGCAGCAAAGGAGAATTCAAATTGCTGACTCTTTGTACTGTCCCACAGAAATAAAGAATGGTCTTTGGACCTGAGCATAACATTGAGATCCTGGACACTCACAGGAAAGAGCAAATAAAAGTCAAAGTTCTAGCTATCATTTAATAAACCCATTTGAGAATTACTTTCATATGTTCTCTATCTCCAAAGTGCTCGTTTTATCCCTGTTTTTCCTATAAAAGTTATTTTCCTTTTAATAATTTGCATGTTATATGCTGCCAGGCTATCTAGTTTATCTCTGCATTTTATTAGAAATAAATGATTTATATTAAAACACATATTACTCACAAGAGTCAGTATATCACCTGAAGTTAAAATGTTACAGATAAAAGGCCATTTAACTTTTTAAAAAGATTATTAGGACTTTTATAATCTCCTTTCTAGAAGTTCATGGTGTGTTCAGGCATATAAGCTGATCAGCATTTACTAGTGAATTCCAAAACTAAGTCTCCAGATTTAGTTATATGTACATGAAAAACACAATGCTTGGATCTCCTCAATTTGTAATAAATGCTCACGGCATTTCTGACAAGCAGGAAACTGAACCATTTGGCAACTGAAATCAGCTTTCTACTGGTGTGGGAAGAGCCTGCCCTCCTGTGGCATCCCAGGGTGTCTATGTGGACTTAGCAAGCCTGCCCGTGATGCCCGCCTCCAACTTGCTCCCAAGTTCAGAGACCATCCTCAGCCAAGCAAGCAAGCAGGGAGTCCAGTGAATGCCAGCTACTGTTTGCTGGAGGCAGTTCTGTTATGTGAATGTTATGCGTATTCTGCCCATAGCTGGTGAGAATATTATGGGGAGAGAAAGAAAAACCACCTACATAATTCACTAGTGTGTCCCAATTTCCTCATTTTCCATCTGCATCTACATGTTTCATTTGTTCTCCTGCCTCCTAAAACTTGGCCCAGTGTCCCACTCAGAGCAGTGAAAGCTCTTATTGCCTCAATTCAGGCCCCATCTGGGAAACTGGAAAGGGATGCCACTTGATGAAGGAGGCTTCTCTGAGGCAGGCTCTCTGCGCCACCAGGCAGGACTGTCATGGGCTCTGTTAGTTATTCCACCACTCCATCTCCCATACCATCTGTGACATGTGTTACTGCACTGCAGTTTTGAGGGCGCAGAAAGCTGATTCTTCATAGGCTGCCTCTCCCCTCAGCATGGTGCCTACCTTGGAAAGCCACCCTCAGGGTTATGGCTCTGTGGGCTGAATGGCTGGCTTTTCTCATGTGTGGGAAGCTGAAACAAAAGACTGCCATGAGCCAACCAGTACTTTTTCCTAAGACAAATTCAACTCTTAAAAAGCCAGTAAACATTAAAACTAAATCACTAATTGTATCTAGAAAAAACGTTCTAATTTTAAATTAACTTTGAAAGCATGCTTATTCTTTATTAAAAAGTCAACTGTTTGCTATCATGGCATTACCTATCTTCAAGACAAGATAACGTTTTGTTTCCTTAACCAACCTCATACGTTCTATGTGCAGTAAGGCAGCACAGCCTAGTGGTTAGGAGCAGGAAACTGAAAACAAACCACCTAGGCTTGATTCTTAGCTGTGCAGCCTTCACCAACTGACTTAACCTCTCCATGCCTCAGTTTTCTCACCTGTAAAATGGGGATGATATTACCTATCTCCTAGGGTTATTGTGAGGATTAAATGAGTCAATATATGTAAAGTGTACGGAGCAGTACCTGGCTACAGTAAGTGTTCATTAAATAGAGTCACAAGCAGAGAGAAGCATTAATTTACTCCCTTAAATTTCCCAGTTCCTGGAGAATTATAACTGAACTGATTCCAACATCTCTAGCCCTTAGTGGTCACCTTTCCCTTTAGTTCCTGATTTGTTAAATAGCCAACCTGACTTTCTGCAAGAAAAAAATGCATATTTGGAACATTTTACCAATATATATATATATGCATGCATATACCCAGACACACATAACCATCTATGTTTGAAACAAGTTTTACTATCAATATTTACCCTTACTGCATGTATAGTCTAGCATGCATATACCCTATTCTATTTCACTTTCTTCCAACAGTACTCATAACCCACCATACTGATTTCACTAACATGCAGTTTGAAAAACAATGTTCTAAAGAAACTGCTTACTCCCATCAAAATGGCAGTTTCTCAGTTTCAACAATGTTAAGATATAGACTTAATTGCTGGCAACTTTAAATAGAATTTTGAATCTACTATATTACAATAGTTTTATATATATGGTGCAAATCTTACCTATGCAAATTATTAGCTATGTAACTATATAAAAGGGACTTAACTTCTCTTAGTTTCTTTTTTTGTTAACTGGGAAAATATCTACCTGCTAGAGATATTATAAGAATTAAAAAAGAAGCTATAAAATGGCTGATACTAAATAAATGGCAGCTATTACAATTAATGGTCATGACCAAGGACTATATTAAGCTTCTCAAGGATGGTTCCATAATAGCTACATATCAAAGTCCCTTACAGAGGGTTTTAAATGGATGCCTGAGCCTCCCTCCACATTTACTGAATTGCCCAAGATGGGGACCAGGTGAGATCTCTCAGGTGAGATCACACAAAGGGTCAAATGTCAAATCAAATTCAACAGGAATGATAGATCTTACTCACTACCAAGGTAAATAATGACTCAAAGGATACATAAAATATAAGCTCAGTATTCCTTCAGACCTTGGAGAGTTCCGAAGTTCTCAGGAGCAGGTGTCTCTTAAATATTCTTTTTCTCCTGTGTAAGGATGTATATTCACCCACAATGAACATGAAAGGTGTAAGCAATGGATGAAGTGCATTGCATGAACAGAAGGGCTCTTCTGGTTAAGGAACATCTGCTTTTCATACCCCATTAATTACATAGCTCACATGACATTTTCCAGCAAGCTGTGCCCCATGAATTCAAATTCCAATAAGCAACCTAGACAACCTGGTCCATCCTGTTAAAAACATTCCATAGATAAGGACTGTCCAGCTAGTCAACACCATGACTGTGTTTGCCAGCAGGTCAGTCACTAGGATGTTTAAAAAGAACCTGATACAAATCTTTCCTTCTCAACAGTGATATTAATCATGGGGACTGGAACTACTGAATTACTCCCTTTCCAGCTCCAATTTAACATTTCAGAACTTAACTGAATAAAATTCATTTTGAACAAAAATACATAATACCCAGAGAGTCCTGAAGCCTTAAGGGCAGACAGTTTGAAGCTTTAAGTAACTGAACCTGATCTTTAAAGAGTTTAAAACTGCCCTAAGGCTTCAGCACCCTGTTTTATTTCACTTTATGAATGAAGAAATTGAAGCAGTGATAGTTTGTTGTTGATTTGGGGTTTTTTTTTGGTTGTGGGGTATGTTTTCAGACACAATAAAACAGCGAAGGCAGCTCTTCCGAGTGTCCCTAACTCAGAACCAGTCATGTTTCACATGGTAAGTACTCAGTTCTCTCAAGTAATATGCTGCACTATGTTTACCCAAATAAAATAATGTATTTAATCTATGTTTTTGCAGATACTCCATTGACAGAAGCAGTGACCCTGGAAGATTCTTCTATGTTGACATTACAACAGGTGCCCTGATGACTGCAAGACCTCTTGACCGGGAAGAGTTTTCTTGGCATAATATCACTGTCCTTGCTATGGAAATGAGTAAGTAACACCATAAGTTGGTCTCCAGTGACAAAATATAATCATTGTAGAAAGTGAAAGTTTCTAGAGTCTGTTGGGACAAGAATTATATTCTTTACAGGACAAAACAGAAATCATGGTTTATGCAAGGAAGGAAAGCATTTAGTTCAAACACTTATTGAGCATCACCTATATACCTAGTCATGAACCAGAGATAAAAACAAACAAAACATGCAAAATTGGAACAAAAAAATAGCAACAATGAACCAAGGAGCTAGACTTCTATATGAGAAAAAGTGACAATTCCTAAGAAATCTAGGAGGCTTTCAATCTAATAAGACTGGAAATGCACAAATAGCATAAAATATTATTGGATGGAAAGAAGCACTTATATCACCCTACATACATACACACAAACATGCATATAAGAACTTGAGGTGTCTTATAATAAAAGGCAGATTTATTAACATAAGCTCAGAAATGGAATGGAAAATTAATAAAAACTAGATTAACATACATACAAAAGTTAGATTAAATACTAATACATTCAATTTTTTTATAACACCTAGGAATGGTAAAGGTTCAGGGGAATGGCAGACTCTAATGTATTGGCGGACGTATATACAGTCATTCAAGAGGACAATTTGGCAATTAACTTTTTCTATTGAGATTCTCCAAAATATACATACTCTTTTACTCAAGAATTCTACTTCTAATAATTATCTTAAGGAACTTATCATAACTATCAACAAAGCTTTAGGTATCAAAATGTCCACTGCTTTAGTATTTTAAAATAGAGGAAAAAATGGGAATTACCTAAATGTAATTGACTAAATAATGGTACAACCATATAGTAAAATCAGAATCATATAATTGAAAGCATGGAATACCCATGCTTTCAAAGTATTTTTCAATGACATAGGACAATCCTGCCCTAAAAATATTAAAAGTTCTGAATTCAACTTTTTTATTTTAACAGCAGTGTGTGTGTGTGTGTAGCTCCATATTTTTTGACATGTAATATTATGTACCATATAATGGATCTCTCTAGTGGTATGACTGTGGGTCATGTTAATCCTTAGGTTTTTTCTGGAATTTTCATTATTTCTTTGATGAACAAGCACCATAGTTATAATGAAAAAAATTAAGTATATCAGCACTTTTGGTAACCAGGCAATAAAAATGTTCAGGGGGAAAACAGAGATGAGTGTAAGTATTTTTGAGACAGAAAAGAAGAAAAAAAATGAACTAGAAGAACAAGGCATTCTGAGAGTTCATAAAGTTATTTACTAACAATTTCTGGGTCTTGTAATTTCCATTTTGTCTTCCTGGGCTGCTGAACAAGGCAGAAAGATAGGAGGGGCAGGACTGGGGCTGTGAAATTGTCCTTATATGTCACTGCCAGCAAATGATGGACCGAAAGGATATGTTTCCCCATGAGTGACTATCCCCTGCCAAAGACACAGATTTGGTGTGTTTGATCCTGTAATATCCCCTTAGTCCCTAAACAGAAATACATGTGCAGTGTTATCTGTATTACTGTGAACAACTTGAAACCTTCTGAAATACAACTCAAAGAAATGAGTTTTCCACAGGAATAAAGCCAAGCGCTGCCACACAGTATATGCCCAACTAGAAACAGGCTGCTTTCAAGCCCAGAACACAGAATTGACCTGCTTTTAATTCCAGAGTGAAGGATGAGCCAAGGGAGAGAATCAAAACCTCTTTTTAAGATGCATTTTGTGATACCTGCTCCCTTCCAAGTCTCACCCCTCCCATTATGCTCCTGATATTACACACACTCTCAAAAATACCCCTCATTCTGCCCACACTTCTTAGGTTCCAGCCATACTCTAAATAGGCAGCACATGCATCCTATGCTTGTCTTGCCATTTCCGTGTTCTTTATCTATTCCTTTAAAAACCAGGCTGACAAGGTAACAACTACCTATTCCTGCACAGGGCTGCTTTCTTGCACTACTGAACTCTCACCGTTGGTTTTCTTTGTGCTCTCTTTAGACAACCCTTCCCAGGTTGGAAGTGTTTCTGTCACAATCAAAGTCTTAGATGTGAATGACAATGCTCCAGAATTCCCCAGATTCTATGAAGCTTTTGTCTGTGAGAATGCCAAAGCAGGGCAGGTAAGGCGGCCTGTAACATGACTGTTACAGATAACCAAATTTGCTCTCAAAGAAATTTATACTCCAGAAACCAACAGTTTACGAAACAGAGTTCCCAACTTAAGTATATCATTTTCCAAGTTTATTTGTTAAGATAACTATTTGGAGCCTCCATTACATTTTTATGATCTAAAAAATGCTCTGATGGTGGCTTGATTCACAGGCTGACCTGTAATAAATTACTCATCTTGCAACTGACCTGGATACTACCAATTGTAGCAATGTGTGCTATGGGTCCCAGAAGTGAGGGACCACAAGGATCAGAAGAAAGTCTTTCTCTTTTCCTTAGTTTAGTCTAATCCTAGAAACTATTTGCAGTTGGAAAAGTTTATTTTTTTATATCTTACCACTTCTCTTTCTTAACTTCTAGCACAGGCACCTTGTTTAGGGACTCCCTGCCCTATTCTCAGAATGCTCTGTTACCTAGAATTACCTAGGTAAGGCTCCTCCCTTAGTTAAACCACCACTTTCTTACCTGGCTCATGCCAGGTTGTTTTGAGAGGAAAGGAATCTGAAGGAACAAATTTCTACTAATTTGAAATGACTGTAGTTCTATAATCTTCAGAGACATACTTGTTTATTTTTCAAAGTATGCGTATAAGTCTCAATAAATATTGGACCAAATTCCAAGTGGCGTAACTGAGAAACATCTGGAACTCTGCTTGGAGTGGCCATGCATTAACGTACGTGTCCATACACACCCTTTCAGACCTCAGATCATAGGCCATCTCCCTGCTTCTGAGCCTGCTCTGTAAGACACTTTCTTCTCTACCTATGATCCAACAGATTCCCTAAGCATCCTCATTTATTGCCCTGGAGCATACTGGGAGGCTCTCTGGATTCTAGGGGGGAGGCAGACGTTCTACTGCGGAAGTGTGTGTCTGTTAAGGCAAAGCCTCACACCCCATAAGTCAGGCCTTCCCACTGCCCAGAGTTTTTGCTCTCACTTCTCACCCGGACATCACCTCCAGCATCTTGCCACGCAGACATGACGCTGGTACAACCAAAACCTACATTAGCTTCCTGAACTCACCAAAGACTGGCTCGACACATTTTTACGACTCTCCTCAGTCAAGACAAAAAGGGATTCCCACCCCCCAGGTGGAAAAAAATGTCTCCTACCATGATTCTGATCTAAACCATCTCATTCACTGATTCTTGAAACTCGCTGCCATAGTGCATGGCACTCCTAAAAATAGTTTTCAACAGGCCTAGAATAATTCTACTTCCACATCTATTGAATTTCTAGTCTAGAAAGACCTGAAATATTACACAGCTAATCAAAGACTTTACAGCATAAGAAATGATCCAAGTTATTCTAAGAAAGTAGGTATAAAAACTACATGAACATGCTTGCAGTTATGTTAAATCATGTCTACATGTGAACAAGTACTGGCAGGCAGGATAGAAAAAGAGCAGCAGGTACTGTGCTAAGTAAGGTAGGTGAGTTTTGAGTGAGGGAGTTTCAGCCTTTGATTAGTTTTGTTTTGTATCATAATAAAATAGTATATATAACACAGAAAATACATAAAATGTAACATGTAAATTTATGTAAGATACTGTGAAAAATATGGTATTTTATACTTTAATGAGAGGCTAATTTTTAATCTGTAATATAAAGGTGATAAACAGCATAGTAAATTATACCTCTTTTCTCCCAAAAAAAAATGCATTTCCTTTCCTAAAGGGCTTCAGAATAGAGGTTGCATCCTGATAAATTAACAGCACTTTAACTAGCTCTCTCTTTTGAAGCACACAAATACATCTCCCATTGCTACACTTTGAAATACATCTTTTAATGGCCTATTACATAGTCTTTCATAACACAGTTTACCTGTGATGTAAAGGTCAGGTCATGAGCCACAGGTCTGTCATATCTGTCATCCTTAGCCCAAGATACTGAAAATCCTACCCTATGATTTTGGCACTGGAACATGTTCTAAAGATTTTCAAAAGCACACAGCTCAGTAGACACATCCAGTTTATATAGAATCAGGCCTCCTTGTGTTAGACTTGTCGGATGTTGTCATCAGCTTTATGTCTGCCAAGGAGGAATGTATGCTTTCCTCTTAGCAAGCAGCCTGAAGGAAGCCCGCAAAGAAATCAGGCAATGCCCGAGGAGGCAGTAAGTGAAGGCTGGGCATCAAATCCTTCACTGAAGGGGCATCTGTGCAACACAGTGTCTCCCACAAGGCCCTGTGCTGGGAGCTTCCTGTGTCATTCAATCCACAGCATGTGGCCAGAGTAGCATTGCCTCCCTTCATTTACAGATGAAGAAGCAACGACTAAGCCCCTCTAGCTGCACTCTGAGGTTCCCATTTCTACCCTGGCAAGCAGAGCCTGCTTTTAACTGCAGGAGAGTCTACAGGAACAGGCCCAAGAGGGGTTGGAGAAGCCTGTGCTGTTGGTTGGTAGAGGCACACACACACACTGGAAGTTACCACCCATTCAACATCTTTTCTATACCCCACCCCCAGGGGCCATGCTAATTTTTCACTGTGTATCTTGCCAGGCTTTCTTCAGTAGCTTTCTCACCTTGGTCTGCCTCATAATCGCCAAGGCAACTTTTCCAGCACCCCCTTCTGGCCAACAGAAAGTGCCTGCCCTATGACCCACTCCCTCTCGTGTGCTGTCCATTCACCTGACATGGCCAGTGATGATGTGCCCACTTACTTCCCTTCTAGATACTGGTCATTTTTAAATAGGAGCTTTTTAAAGAGAGCAACTTGACCATGAAATATTAACCCAAAGGAAGAGGTTAAACAGGTGGGATGGAAGGATGAAAACTGGGAGACAGGTAGGACTGTGTGGCATCCCAGAGTTCGTTTCCTCAGTCTTCTATTCAGACTGCTTAAAACGGCCGGTGTTGGTGTGAGAATATGTTGTGATGATGTCTAACATCTGAAGTATTTAGGTAACATTCACCCTGAGTTAATGTACTCATGTTCAACAATAAACCCAGACTGAATCCTGAGTTGTGTAATGGCATGCAGGCTTTCCAGGTAAGTTTCAGGATATCCTTTTCTTTAGGTAAAATATTCCGCTATAGATGTCAGGGTTGGGGATCTCACTGGGCCCTGAAGCCTTTCCTTTTGGCACTCACTCACCTGACTTCCTGTCCCTCCTCAGCTGATCCAGACAGTGAGTGCAGTGGACCAAGATGACCCGCGCAGCGGTCAGCACTTCTACTACAGCCTGGCTCCCGAGGCTGCCAGCAACCCCAACTTCACCGTAAGGGACAACCAAGGTAATCAGGTAGACAGCTGGCTGCCAGGGCTGCCCCACAGCTGGGCCTGGATACTCTGGTCATTCTACCGTGCAAACAGTGCCAAAGGGCACCTGCTCTTTAACAGCAGGGAAGACATTAATGCTCATTTTTAAAGTTTTGTTTCAGAACATCAAAGACAAAGACTGTCTTTTGCTGATTCTGAAACTTCTATTCAGTCGGTCAGTTCACAGATGCCCTAGTGCTGGCTCTGCACCCCCCACTATAAGGCACACGGGCAAAAGCCTCCCTTCATGCCCTCAGACAGGCTGCAGCCATGCTGATATGTTCTGTGACTGTGGAAAGAATCTGAGAAAGATGACAGAAATTGGATTAGAAAAAGAGAAAAGCCCGAGGGAACATTTCTAGGCAAGGATCTAAGGGGGAACAGTAGAAAGTTTCCACAATAAAAAGGAGACAAAGGGTAAGTGCTGGAGATAACCAAGGGCAGATATGGGATCACAAAGAGCAGTTCTGGCACTGAAACAACTTCATTGCTCTAGAATGATTTAGAAAGACACAGCCAGGTGGAGGTGCCTATTCCAGAAAGTGCTCCCTACTACGACTTTGCTAGAATGGCATTCCAGAGCCTCTTTTCCAACAAGCATTCAGATCAGCTAAGGAATTTACAGACCTAGCACGCTCTTCATGGAGCACAGACTGGAAAAGGAGGGACTTTCTGTTTGCTACCCCATCATTTTCAAAGAAAGGTCAGAGAAAATGAAAAGAGAATTTAGATCTCTCAAGTGAACCCCTTCAATTGCTAACTCTGCTACCAACTTGCTGTCTGACCTTGAGGAGGGAGGTCATCACTTCTCTGGGCTGTGGCAGCCTCATTTTTATTCCAATTCTAAAGTATTCACTGTCCCCATATAGCAATCTAAACAAAGGGTAACAAAAAATCATGATTAGGCATGCCCAGTCTTACTCTCAAACACCAATTTTTTTGAGAATTAAGTATTAATTCCACCCCACATGATACCCTGCCATTAAAACTTGAGGATATCAAAACTTTTTCCTTCTAAATGGAGAGCATTCTTTCAAGTCATCTCTTTAACCCTCTGCATGTTATAATAAAGTGACCATGATAATTCTGGAAGGAAGGGTAACATAAATTAAAACAATAGAAGTACTACAATTAAGTATCCTAGTATTTTTATTAGGTCCAATTTTGAACTATTCATTTATCTGCTCCACAGGAAAACCTTTCCCATAAAAAGTAGAAATCCCCCTCAGGATTGTTTTACAGTGGAAACCCAGAGGAGAAAAATAATATATTATATTGTTTCTTCAAATTTCAGCTAAGCGTCACTGTATTCCTTCACTTTGGCATTTGTTAGAATCAATACAGAAACCAACACACAGCACCGTGTTGCAAATTTTCCTAAATAGGACTTTGGGCACCAATTCAGGGAGCCAATACCTTAAAAAGATGGGCCATGGCACATGAAGACCATAAAAAGAAATGACTCATCTCTTGGGACATTCTTCCAAAACGAAGTCAGCACATCGTCAGTAGAAAGAATGAACTCTTAATCTCATGATGATTTATCTGACAAGTAAATTTTCCTGAGGTTCATTAAAAAATTGACCAACATTTGAAATGGGGGATCTACTGCCAAGCTCCCCGACTCCCATGCCCAACACATGATGTCCTTTTAGGAACACAATAGGGCACTATATCTCAAGGAAAGTCTCTTTTCCTGTTTTTTTTTTTAATCCCCAAAGCATTAGGAAAAGGAGTGTGTGCATAGGGAACTTTAGTTTCAAATGCATTTTCCCATACTTTGCTTAATTTGATATTTATTGTAATCCTGTAAGGTTTAAGGAAGTTACTAGTCCCTCTGATTCTCAATGTCTCCTTTGATAGATAAGAAAAAGCAAATGACTTAAGATGACACAGTAAGCAAGTATTAAGACTAGACTAGAAGTTTGGACCTATTTTAGCCGCAAAAAAATTTGTGTCACCTTGGAAACAAATACTGTGTCCAAATGGCTTACTAAAGCCCTAGTTATCATATTCAACAAAAATGTTGCATGTGACTGCTATATACTAGACCTTTTCCAGGACTAGACTCAGCAATGCAATGCTCTGATCTTACTTCTTTAAACTTAAATAACCCCGAGATCAAGAAACATATGATGTGTAGTAGGCATGAATATAATACTTAAATTCAGTCCTGCTCAGGCTTTAGAAAATTAAACCTAGCCTCAATTAAACTGAAAAATAAAAATAATAAAGATTTGTTTGAGAAAAACTTGGTTTCTGAAAAAACAAAATTAAAACTGTGAAGCAGAATTAATAGTACTTACCTCTGAAATCTGGAAAAACAGAAAAGTGGGTAGGTAGAAATATGAATATAATCCTCAAGTTGGCAACCAATTACTATCTTTCTCCATTGGAGAAATAAGAGGACAGGAACCTGTACCGAAGCAGGAAGAGATTTCAACTAGCTGAGTAATTTTTGACAGTAATGTCACTAAACTAAACTAAGCACAAAGCAAGGAGTGTATGTTTGGAGTTAGAGACCAGAGTTCAAATCCCAGCTCTGCTACTAAGTAAGTGACTTTGAACCAATTTTATAATCTCTCCATGCTTTAACTCTCTCACTGTAAAAGGGTGAGATTATCACTATCTCACCAAATCTTATGAAAATTAAATGAGCTATATATGTAAAGTCTAAGTACCTGGCACATAAACAAACATTCAATGAACAACAGCTTCTATCTGAAAAAGCAGGAGTAGGAGGCGGTGGAAAAGTCCATTAAGGGATGATGTACTGGTCAGAACAGGGTAGGTAACGCTGCAGAAACAAACACCACCAAAGTCCCAGTGGCTTAACACAACTAAACTTAACTTCGTGCTCCCATAAAGCCAACTGCAAGTCTGAGTGAAGAGTCCATGTACAACTCAGTATCCCAGGCTGCCTGGATTTCCACCTCAAATGTTCTTCCCCAGCGCCACACGCCAAGGCAGGAGAGCACAGAGAAATGCATACCAGCTGTCCCGTGCTTCTGCCTGGGAGGGACCCAATCACTTTGGCTCATTTTTTTAATCACCTAAAGCAAATCATACAGACCTTCCCAAATTCAAAAGGGTAGGAAAGTATAATCCTTTATTATGTCTAAGAAGGAAGAGAGAACCAGAAATATGCATCTTGAGGTGAATAATGTTTACTTTGGTTAGGCTCTCAACATTTTTGTGAAGTCCTAGACTCTTCCCTGTGACCCTCCATGTTAATGATACTAGCTTACAGTCACTGCTTGTATGTCCTATCACATCTTTCAAACTTTTCCTCTGCTGAAAATGACCTAAGCTTTGCAAAAGACCTATCTGATTTGTGATTCAAACCCACTCAAGCAACCAAAGGACATAGACTTTTTTTTTATCCCAAAACATTACACTACAGAAATAAAAATTGAAGTGCGCATACACACCAACTTTGTAGAAATACATTGAATAATTTTATTAAATTCCCTTTAAAACTGGAAGGGAAAAACTAGTGCAGCTGATCAGGAACAAATCTGCACCAAGTTCCTATTAACTGCATAAACTTAGACCACCAAGAGGAGGGAGAGAACAGGGTGGGTCATATGATTGGGGGATTTCAAATAAGCTTCTGCTAAATGAGCAGGTTCTTCAGAAAGCCCAGGAGTTGGTGCCTGCATTTCAGAGGCATAAAAGAGAATGGCAGAAGACGTGACTGCCGGCCAAAGCGGCAGAAATAGGCAATCAGCCACAACCACGTGGGCTCCTCCGCGTTCTTTTCCTGGAGGCACACCGCAGCACTGGGGCCTTGGAAAGCTGCCGAGTGGGAACAAACAGGGACCACGAGTTGCGAGGGATTGTTCCTGTCAAGCTTTCCCAGAAACATTTCAGTTAGATCTGAAGTCTGAGAGTTCGCCCTGGGCATTTTATGTCACAAAGGGTAGGACAAACTCTCAAAAAAGGTTTCTCTGCCAGGCCTCAGGGTTTTGCCTAGAAGCAAGCAAAAATCTTGGCTTCTGAATCCAAATGCTGATCCAGACAAGCCTGCTGTGGCTGTCGCTGAACACCTCCAGAGATACTCAACTCTTTCCTTCCCACACCCCTGCCTGGACCCTTCCTTTCCTCAGCCCAAGAAATTAATTCACTTGTTGGTTCTTCCGTTTTCTTCTTCCCTCTCATTTTCCCTCTGCCCTCGCACAATCCTGGAATCCCTGTCTCCTTCAGATAACACTGCCCGGATTCTAACCAGGAAGGCTGGCTTCCGGCAGCAGGAGCAGAGCGTCTTTTACCTGCCCATCCTGATATCGGACAACGGTCAGCCAGTGCTGAGCAGCACGGGCACACTGACCATCCAGGTGTGCAGCTGTGACGACGGCGGCCACGTCCTGTCCTGCAGCCCTGAGGCCTACCTGCTCCCGGTCAGCCTGAGCCGGGGCGCCCTCATCGCCATCCTGGCCTGCGTCTTTGTCCTTTTAGGTGAGTGAATGGCGCCTTTTTATTCTGTGGGGACCTGCACGTGCTAACTTAGATCTACCATTCGGCTACCCTAACACAGCTGATTAGCCCTAGTTTTCCACACTGTGCTTATTGAAAAGGTGGGAGAGAAGGCTAGGAAAAAGTAAAAAAAAAAAAAAAAACAAAAAAGGAGGTTATGGCCTCTTTGGCAACATCAAAGCACATATATTTATCAAGCATCTACTATGGGCCAGGGCAGCCTTCTGGGTGCTGAGATTAAGAAGACAGACATGTCCCAGCCTTCACAGAGCTTATTTCAGAACAAAGTTCATTCATCTTGACATCACAGAATCAAAATGAGAATTTTGAACAAGATATGATGATCACCTCTTCTAATTCCTTCATTTCAGATAAGTAGTAGCTAACTCACAAAGAGGCAGCAGGCCCAAGGCCAAATGTCAGAGGCAGAGTCAGGACTGAAATGCAGGCAAGCCCTACACCATACACTCCTGTGTCTGGGCAGTAAGGCCCTTCCCCTAAATGTTCACCCCCAGATTCTGGAGGTAGTTAAGTGTTACAGAGAAGGGAAAAGGCACAGGATATCCTGAGGGGACAGGAGACAAGGGTAGGTGCCATTCTGCACAAGCGTAGTCAGGGCAGGCCTCACTGACAAGGAGACCTTTGAGCCAAGATCTGAAGGAAGTGACACAGCTCTCTCGAAGAATAAGCTGTTTGTGGGCATTGGCCCCCCTCCCAAGCACTGTGGCCATCTCACAGGGGCCAGTAAACATTCTAAATCCTTGGATCCTTGGATTAGAGAGAATTGTTATGGTTTCTGGTCCCTGTATTGACAAATAAATAATCCTCGCAATTCCCTGAGTGTCCATAAGGTGGCACTGGGAGTCCTTGAGTGCCTAACAGGCTAACCTGTAAGAGGTGTTTGAAAAAAACTTGCTCCTAGAAGTATTTCCAGGCTGGCTGTCCTTACTTCTTTCTACCTTCGGAAAACATCTACGTTCAAAGTTCGTCCTGGTCCATAAACAATAGAAGGAGCCATTGTTACAGTGAGGTTAATTTAAAGACACTGGCAGAGAGGCTCTCAAGTCAGAATAGGCATGCAAGGGGCAATTTATTTTGTGCCTCCCAAACTTATTATGTCATGCCTTTTGACTTACACAGAATAAAGACAGTTTTCAAAAGCTAAACTGAGCAGAGGTCATAAAATCCCTACAGTTTTAGGCACTCTGATTTTTAGGAGTGCACATCCCACATTAAGTGTAATTCGTAAAACCAAGCAAGACTGAAGTTTTTTCAACAAAATACTACATTTTGTGAAGAATTAAATATTAATTTTGCCTTTGCAAGATTATTTTTTACGTGTCAAGCTTCTATCTAGTTCCTAGAAAATCTCATAGGCTCTACACACTGTGCCTATAGTACCTGAAGAATAAATACCCCTAGAACTGATTTCTCCCCTGAGGGGGAAGCCTTTCAGTTGAACAGGATCATTTTCCCCAAAATCTGATTTTCAGGGCATGATGCAACACTTTTTATCTAAGCCAGAATCCCTAAAACATAAGACATGCAGCAATCTTGATTTTTCAAGAAATGGACCAGTTTTATAAACCGCCTAATTTTCCATCACCATCACATTTCTAAGCAGCCACTCAAAGACTTTTCTAATTTTGCATTCTAGCATTTTCTAAAATACCACCCTGACGGCTCTAGTGTCACCCTCTGTGAAGGTCTTCCCAGTTCCCTAGGAAGAATTAACTGGCTCTGCTTCTGTACGCTCTCTGCAACACCTGTAACCCTATAGCAGCCCTTATCACTGCCTGACTTACATTAATCACCAGTGTCCCTAATCTACTTAAATTGCGAGCTTGTAAGAGCAGAAATCATGTCACACTCAACGCTGTTTCCCCATTGCTTAGCACAGTGCCTAAGACATATTTGACCTTAGTGACCGCTTACCGAATCCCACAAGCACAGACGTTCACCTGGAATCCCATTTCTCTAACCTGCATCCATTCAAATCACATCCCAGTCTCCCATGTTGAGTTCAAGGCCCCATTTCCTTAAAGCCCTAATAGGGCATTTGTCCGAAATCCCACTCCTGCAGCCTATGATTCATATTTCTGCACACAGAGAAAGTATATGAAGGGAAATATTTCTTATATATCAATTTTGTCACCCAAGCTATTCAGGAAAGTATTAGGTATTAACATCTCTAATTGCAATCTACAAAGAGTATTCTAGATTCAAATTTTAACAATCATTATCATGAGTATTTTTAGCCAGTCCATAATCTTACTAGGCATACAACTGTACTCCGTTTTTACCCCCCTTGGATAAACTGGGTTTTATTTTGCAGTGTTTTCAAGCTGTCACTGTTCACCAGCTATAACAAACCACACCAGAAAAAAAATCAGTTAACAGTTCTAGCTGAAACTTCAACATACTTTCGGGAAAACATTTTCAGTCACAGAGATCAACAGCTCAGTGGGATTTTCTCTCTCTCTCTCTCCCCTTTAAACCCCAGTGAACACATCCTGGGAAAAAAACAATGGTTGGGATAAAATTTTATTCAAACCTGCAAGGGCACATCTAACAGTGTGGTGCTTCTTTGGTAACATGATGAATTACATAAAATGTCACTCATGGCTCATTCCCTCCCTTCCATGAACACCCTGGGACCCAGAGTCACAATCACCTCTAATGGAAGGGTTTTCTGAAAAATCTGAGTTAATTGGACAACTGCCGTCATTTACGCTCTTTTAATTTCTGGAGGAGGTATAACAATAAGAATTTGGTTATACTTAGCACAGGTGTTTATTTATGCATATGCATTAATTATACTTGCCCAGCAGAATCCTATAAAAACGTCAGGGTAAGAAAGCAGGACTCCACCAAATTACTAAGATTTCCACATTATAAGAGAAATTTATATTCGTCCTCATATAGTCAGAAGACATGATCTGATCCTTGGCATATTCTCCACGGCAGGCCTTAGTGCTCTGTCCTCTGTTGGTGGGACTTTCCGCTGTGTGGCTGGGTACCCAGACACACACACACACTTCACACACAGACACACGCACACACTTTCAAAGCAGCAAGCTGATGCGGAGAGACCTGATATGTGGCTTCTAAATAAACCACTTGGAAAAAAAACAGGGCTTCATTTGCCCGCACTCTCCATCTGACACGGCAAAATCAATGAGGCGAGGCAGACCCTGTGGGTTCACATATCCAAATGCTGTCCCCGAGCTCCCCACTCAGAAAACTCCGCCCGCACCTGTGGTTAGAGGAATGGTGACACTCGCGGCACACAAAACCGGGTCTCCTGTCTGAACATCTTGCCCTCCGTTTCCGGCAGTGCTCGTGCTGCTCATTCTGTCCATGAGGCGGCACCGGAAACAGCCGTACATCATCGACGACGAGGAGAACATTCACGAGAACATCGTCCGCTACGACGACGAGGGCGGCGGCGAGGAGGACACCGAGGCCTTTGACATCGCGGCCATGTGGAACCCCCGCGAGGCGCAGGCGGGAGGCGCCCCGAAGACGCGGCAGGACATGCTGCCCGAGATTGAAAGCCTCTCCCGCTACGTGCCTCAAACGTGCGCCGTCAGCAGTACCGTCCACAGCTACGTGCTAGCCAAGCTGTATGAGGCCGACATGGACCTGTGGGCGCCGCCCTTCGACTCCCTGCAGACGTACATGTTTGAGGGAGACGGCTCGGTGGCCGGATCGCTGAGCTCCCTGCAGTCGGCCACGTCAGACTCAGAGCAGAGCTTCGACTTCCTGACGGACTGGGGGCCCCGCTTCCGGAAGCTGGCCGAGCTCTACGGGGCATCGGAGGGGCCTGCGCCCCTGTGGTGACGGAAGCCGGGTGGCAGGCGTGCGTCCAAACACAGACGTCCTGGGCGCAGGCTTCGCGGACGAGGCGCAGCCAATCACGTGAGCAATACCGCGCTGGAGAGCGAGGAGGGGCAGGGCGGATGCAGAGAGCTCCCACTGGATCAGCTTTACTTGGTTAGACTATGGTAGGTAAGAAAAAAGAAAACACAGGAAGAGCGGGCAGAAACTCCAATTACCTCTTTTTCTTTTTAATGTTTGTGACACCGTATTCAATGGCTTGGGATCCAAGGTTAATTTATGGCAAGTTTGGCCTTTTTCTTTGCCATTCACCAAGTCCTTGGTCACTTTACCATCGCAAAGAGGCGTGGTCTTAAGTACGGGCGTGGCGATTGACAGTTCGACTCACATCTTTAATGTTTGTTTAATCTTGCTTTATTTTACATTTAGTAAGAGTTTTCCTGGCCCATCAAGTCACACAAACCAACCCACACACACAAAAAAAACTATGAAAATGTGTTAACTCGGGGAGATTAACCTACTTGTTCTGGGCTGGATGGCGTTTGTTTTAACCCTTTTGAGACGAGGTTAAGGCGAACAGGCCTTGCATGGGGGATGGGTGGGGAATGGGAGAAAGAAGAGGCATTGACTGTGCCCAAGTTTAATGGCCGAACCAAGAGTTGGCGTTACAACGAATCCAGCTCCGTCAAGTTAGAGTGCGCCACACCTCTCAGCTCTTACTGTGCCCCTGGAAAACTGTTCAGAACGAAACCAGAAAATCCGCCTCTTCTGCACTGTAGATGTCTCTTCCATGTGCCAAATGTGAAGATTAGATGCTACAAATGAAAGCCAAATAAAAAGAAGTATCTGATAAAAGCATGGGTTAGAGGGCTTTCCTAATCTGTGTGAGGTCAATCCAAGGGATGTTTACACACTGTAGATAACCTACTTGAACAAAAATCAGTATTATAGAGAATAAATGGATGTAAGAAAATTACATGTATAAGTTTTGTATATTTGTTAATAATTTTGGTAATAAATATGTACTGCATCTCAGTACCTTAGCACTTCTTTTAATAAAAGTTAAATAGAAGGGAAAGTCTATTGCAAATTTGTTCAATTGCCAAGCAGGTAAAAGATGGCTTTGTGGTCCTGACTTAGCCTCAGGTTCTTGGGGTCGGGTTGATTGCCAACACAAAGGCACAGCAAAGCAGTATGAGGCTGTACGTTCTGTGTCATTCACTGAACAGGTGAACGTCACCGTTCAAACTGTTAAGCCTTTCCTGAACACTCTTCATTCCCCCACCCCTGAAAAGAGCAAAGGATGGTTTGGTAAAAACACAACAGTGAATTTCACCCAAGTTTTTCATTTTGTAAGAGTGTTTAACACACAGCCACCACGGAGGAGGGCACTGTGCTTTCACGTCTGTTCTACTGGCAAATCAAGTATGTACAATTATGTACCAAATATGTACAGATCAAGGCCGAATGAGCTCAGAAGGCTGGGACTGTTATTTTACTCACCTTCCCTTTCCCCACAGTATCTAACATAGTCATTTGCATACAGTAGGTGCTTAAGTGCGTGATGGATACATGAAGGAGATCCCTTTCTTTGGCATCCTGTTACTAAAGGATGTTTTACACAATTGTCCTCACACTTGAGGACGAATTGTGAACAAAATAGTTTTCTGCATGACATGTTATAGCAGTGGCTTTCCAGTATAATGTGTAGACTCACCTGGAACACCTGTTGAAACAATAGCTTGTTGGACCTACCCACTCCCCCAGAGTTTCTAATTCAATTGATCTGAAGCAATTTGCATTTCCAACAAATTTCTGAGTGGGTGAGACTGATGGTGCTAGTCCAGGGAGGGCACTCTGAGAACTTGCCTGACCCCAACCCCCCATCCATAGAGTGGTGGTGTGAATCTCTTTTCCAGTATTAAAGGACAGTTTGGCAGAAACATGTTGAGAAGGCAGCGAGGGGTGGGGGCTAGAAGGATGTGCTTTATGCTTTCTTATGTGTTAGACCAAGAGCTAGGCAAACTCTTCAGCCTCAGCCTACTAAACCCTTTCCTCCCAAGAAAGTTAGCTCTCACACATATTCTATGAGGGGCAGGTGTGATGTAAAAATAAATAAACTTAGCAAAGAAAAAAGAATGAACTTTTAGTCCAAACTAGGCTCTCTAACACACCAGTTATTTGAATGTGGGCAGGTTAACCCCTACAGCATTCTTCCTGGCCATCGCTAGCCCTGAGGATTATTTTGTGACTATTTCACCTTGTGTGGCATGTGTTTAAAACTGGGAACCGCTGTTATCCTAACCACAGGAGGTTACCATGCCCCACATCCTGCAAATGTGGTACCCATGGTACTAGGCATGAAGTGACTAAACAGAAACTCCTGGAGCTCCTTGTCTCTGGAAGGATGTTTAATGGTGTGATACAGGAAGTGCGAGAGAAGCACAGCAGGAGATCCATTTCCACTCACACACCAAATGAAAGGGACTCTTCCCTCCAAAGAGTTTTAATATTCCTTTTTTCACTGACACTGTTTACCACAAAATGTGGTCCCTCTGAAAACATTATCACCACCAGACAGAATACAGAAGTATGATCAGAGAAGATGAGAATGCTGTAAAATCATTCAGCCATTTCTTTGTTAGCAGTTAAGGCAGCTAGCCTGTAATTTACATGTTGGAGAGAAACAGAAGCACCTGTAGCAATCAAATTGATAAGACTGTCTGAAACTGTATTCTGGAAGAAGAACATGAGCAAAGATAATAATTAGCAATGAATTTTCTGAATCAAAAAAGTAGACTATCCCAGCCTCGCAGAGAGCAAAGACAAAGGTGGAGTGTTTCACAGAAGAAAGAATCTATAGATCCTGAAAACAAAATTCAGACCAGCGAAAATCAGTGCTGGCACATTGATTATGGGTTATTACCAGTTCACTAGTGATTGGAACTAGACCTTGATGTCAGAACTCACAGTATATTCTTTTTAGTGGTGGGACTACATGAACATTTGTAAGTATACCTTAAAGTAATTCTTTTTGCAGATGAATTCATTCTCAAATCCATTTGTCATCTCAATTATAGAGTCAAAGAACTTTCAAGGTATTTTTATGTTAAGTATCTTGATTTAGGAGGCTTCTGCTATATTCTAAGGGTCACGATTCTGATAGACTGGACAAAACTAGATCAAGGAATCCTCTTTTCAAAATGATCTACTGATGTGGACATATCTATTTCTTGTGATTCATGTTGTGCAAAACACAAAAGTACTAATTTATAGTATGTGTGGTAAACTACAACATTAACCCAAAACACAGTTTTCTTAAATCCTTCTCCCAGGGACAGGAAGCTAACCTCCACATGTCTGGCCACATTCTTAGTTTTGTAAGGATTGTTCATGGCTGATGAGGGGGTTTCTTCCACTCCAATGCTTTAGCTTCTGTGGTTTCTGTGTACCTGTGATGACATGGGCTACTTCCCATACCAGAAAGCTTTACACCACTTCTCTGAAAGCCAGTAAAACTACCTATGAATCTTTACTAATTTTTCAGGAGGGCTGAATCCTAGTTTTCCTTTTATTATTTCCAATTCTTCCCCTTCCTTCTCACCTGTTTGGTTATCATTGCTGAATGAATAGACACTCCAGACTTAGTGATATAAAAGGACAACGACTTTGCTCAGAGACTCTCGGGGTTAGATTCCAGAAAGGAAATATCAATGACACCTCCTATGTGTCAGAACCTTAGTTGGGGTAATTTATCAAAGGTTTGCTCACCTATATATCTAGAAGTTGGTGCTGGCTATTAAATAAGACCTCAGATGGAGCTGTCAGCAAGGCCTCCACACGGCTGCTTGGGCCCCCTCCCTTCATGGGAGCTGGGTTCAAAGCGTAAACATAGTAAGAAAACCAGGCAGGAGCTGAATCACCTTTTATGACTTCAGAAGTCACACAGCATTACTTCCACTGTTGTCACAAGCCTCCCATAGTGAAGATGAGGAAACTTAGACTTCCCCTCTTAATGGGAAGAGTGTCAGAGCTACATTGTAAGAAGAAATAATGTGACCACTGCTGAAAAATTGGCCACATCAGCTTTCCTTTTCTTCTGTGCTGCCTCCTCCCAATATTCCAGGATTCCCTTTGGGTTCCATTCACCATTTCCTTTCTCTCTTCCATTCCTCCTCTTCTCTGTAGAATACATTCTTGTTCTTTAGTTATATTATTCTTTTCTGAAATTCAGTGTATCCCTACCATATAGTACTTTCAGAAGTAAATGAGTATTACATGAGAACACCTAATATCTAACACATACCAGGCATATATTTTTATTGAGCACAACATACAAGAAACCAAACCTATTTAAAGAATACAATTTAATAAGTTTCAACATATGTGTATACCCATGAAGCCTACACCACAATCAAGATAGTGAATATGTCACCCCCAAGTTTTCTTGTACCCCTTTGTAATACCTCCTTTCCATCCTTGCCTGCCCCCCGCCACCAACTCTAAGCAACCACTGATGCACTTTCTATAGATTCGTTTGCATTTTCTAGAGTTTTATATAAATGGAATCATGCAGTATGTACCTTTTTTGTGGGGGGTAGGGGATATCTGGCTTCCTTCTTTCAGCGTTATTTTGAGATTCACCCATGTCATTGTGTGTATCAACAGTTCATTGCTTTGTTGCCAAGTTGTATTCTATTGCACAGACATATCACACGTCACACCTCATTTATTCATTTACCTATTGGTCTTCTCCGGCTGCTGTGACAAAACACCATGGACTGGGTAGCTTAACCAACAGAAACGTACCTTCTCACAGTTCTGGAGGTTGAAGTACAAGATCGGGGTGCCGGCATGGATGGTCCTGATGAGGCCTCTCCTCCCGGTTCACAGAGTGCTGCCGCCTCGTTGTGTCCTCACGTAGAGGGGAGAGCAAGTGAGCTCTCTGGTGTCTCTTCCTATCAGGATACTAATCCTGTCAGATTAGCGCCCCGCTCTAATGACCTCAACTTAACCTTTATTACCTCCTCACTCCAAACATAGCCACATTAAGGGTTCGGGCTTCAACATATGGATTTGATGGAGACAGAATTCAGTCCATACCAATTCATATGTTGATGGACATTTGGGTTGTTTTCAGCTTTGACTATTACCAGTTAAGCTGCTGTGAACATTTGTGTATAAGTCTTTGTATGGACATATATTTTCATTTCTCTTGGGTAAATACTTAGGAGTTGAATGGATGGAATCATATGGGAGATATATGTGGAGGTTTTTTTCCTAACGGTGAAACTGTTTTCCAACGTCTGTTTACCCTTTTGCATTCTTTTTTTTTTTTGGTGTCATTAATATACACTTACATGAACAACACTGTGGTTACTAGATTCCCCCCATTATCAAGTCCCCACCACATACCCCATTACAATCACTGTCCATCCGCATAGTAAGATGCTATAGAATCACTACTTGTCTTCTCTGTGCTATACTGCCTTCCCTGTGCCCTCCTCACCACATTATGTGTGCTGATCGTAATGCCCCTATTTTCCCCTTATCCCTTTTGCATTCTTACAAGTGCATTAGAGTTCCATTTCCTCCATATCCTCACCAACGCTTAGTATGGGCAGTTTTTCTCATTTAAGTCATTACCATAAGGTGTTAGAGTATCTCACTGTGGTTCTAATACCCTAGGGACTAATAATGTTGACCATCTTTTCATGCACTTATTTGCCATTCATTTATCTTCTTTGGTGGAGTATCCAGATGCAATTGCCCATTTTTTAACTGCGTTGTTTTTTTCTTATTTTTGAGTTTTGATTATTTCCTTTTATTTTCTGAATACAAGTCCTTTATCAGTATATGCTTTACAAAGATTTTCTCCCAGTCTGTGGCTTATCCTTTCATTCTCTTAACAATGCCTTCTGAAAGGCATGAGTTTTTTATTCTGATGGAATCCACTCCACCAATTTGTTCTTCAACAGGTTGTGCTTCTGGTGTCATTTCTAAGAAATCTTTGTCTACCCAAGGTTACAAAGATTTTCTTCCATGCTTTCTGCTAAAACTTTTATGGTTTTCACATTTAGGTCTACAATCCATTTTGAGTTTACTTTTGTAGATTGTTAGGTATGAATTAAAGCTCTTTTGTCCTTTTCTTCTTTCTTCTTTTTTGGCATATGATATCCAATCATTTTAGCTCCCTTTATTGAAAAAGACTATCCTTTTTTTCCCTGCATTGTCCTAAGACTTGTCAGTTGAGTTGTATCTGCCCAAAAGATATGTTCAAATCCTAACCACCCAATACATGAATGTGACCTTACTTGGAAATAATTGGGTCTTTATTTACGGATATAGTCAAGCTGAGAAGTCATACTATATTATGGTGGCCCCAAATCCACTGGCTGGAGCCTTTATAAGAAGGAAATTTGGACACAGGGACAGACACAGGGAGGAACTTCCATGTGACATCTGAGGCAGACAATGGAATGACAGAGCTCCAAGCCAAGAAGCACAGAGGCCTGGCAGGAACTCGCCTTCAGAGCCTCCAGAAGGAACCACCCCTGCCCACACCTTGATTTGAGACTTCCAGCCTCCAGAACCGTGAGACAGTAAGTTTCTATTATTTTAACCCCAAGTTTGTGCTAATGTGTCGTGGCTGCCCTAGAAATCAATACAAACCTTATACAGTATATTTTTTAAAGACCCATTTTAACATAAAAATAAGTAAGAATCCTTCATGTGCCTCCATCACTTTGGCTGCATCTATGACACATACACCAGTTCACTTATTAATTAGTTAATTAGTATGTTCATTTGTGGGATGTTTTTTACTTCAGCGCAGCCAGCGCACATGTTTCGAGGAGGGAGAGGCCTCCGGAGACGCCCTGTGGTCCTGCAGCACACAGGCAGTCTGGCCTCTTCCCCAGCCCACTGGCAGCATCTGAGCAGCATTCAGGGCTCCAGGCAGGGGTGAGGGAAGAATGAATCGCCGGACACTTGCATTCATATGACCCCACAGACAGGGGCGGTGCACAGAGGTTGCCAAGAACAGAGAGGCACATGCTTGCTGAATGCAGTAGGAGCCCACTGGTCCTCAGGCACCACAGCAGAAGGACAGGAGTCAGAGGGGTGCCCGACGCTCTGCGGCAATGTGGAGCATATGTTGCATGCTGTGAATGCCCCCGGAGCATGACCCCCTTGGCAAGAGCTGCACTGCAGAGAGACAAAATTAACCTTCAAAGAGCAGGCGGCATGGTTTCCTTCTGTCTCCTGTGCTTGGCTTTTCCCCGCGGCCCCAGGAACCTGATGCTGTTCTCTGCGTTTCCCCGCCAGGCCCGTATGTAGTGCGATTCCCTCATCCTAACTGCTGTGCTTCTCCAGCCTGCCGATGGGCACTGTCTGACCTGGTGTCTGCCTCCGGGATCAGCCTCATCGACCTCTAATTGTTACACTTGCCAGTGACTTCTTGGGACTGACTTTTGGACTGTGTGATGGTTGGTGCCAAAAATGAGTTTCTCAAATGAGCGGCATTACTTGAGGAAAAATATTAATTACATCCAGGAGAGGACACAGGGCCTCATGAGCATGCTCCAGGCCGGCCTCACTGCTGCTGAGCTGCAAAGTTTAGGAAACAAAAGAGAGAAGGGAACTCCCAACTATTGAGCACCTACTGTATGAAGACACTGCCAGGGGCTTTCACACAGGGAAGCCTAAGCCGAGCACAGACCACAGACCTAAAACCAGAAAAAGACATAGAGCTGTGTGTAAAATGTAAAATACTCACCTTGAATGTTGAAGCCATTGGTTCCACCAGCAATTATAACAAAAATGAGCTCTGCACACATTCTCAACCACTGACTGTTGATACCCTTTTACACCTGAAGTCCCAGAGGATTGCAGGCTGGCCTCACAGTGGGCAGAGAAGCCGGGTGAGGGCAGCTGGCATGAGTCACCTGAGAAATAGTGAGTGATCATGCTTTCCATGTTCCAGTCTCATGTGCTTTCCTGAAAGTATGCTTTCACCACATCCGTAAGAATCAGAACAAAAATAAGCGTCACTGGATGGGACGTCATTGCCAGGGACTGACACAACTCAGGTTCATCTCTTATCAGAGCAGCAGGAAGGTGTTTCCTGAGGATGCTGGCACACTGCCGTATTTACAGTGTGTCCCTTATCTACAAACTGGGTACAAATTCTCTGTAAACTCAGTGCCACTCACCTCATCCAGACTCCCACATGTCTAAGCATATGCCATGTGCCCCTCAGGCACACTTGGCAAACAGGTTATTTATGGGACTTGGCAGAGAAGTCTTTATGGGGGTTTACAGTCACAGCCTGCATGACAGTACCCGCCGTGGCCATGGGCAGGTAAAGTGAACAATAATACATCCAACCTGGAAGGCCGAGTCCTGCTCGTATTTCTAATTATTAAGCGCACCATCACTAGAAGCGTCTCTGTAGCCTGGTTTCCCACGGGGAAGGTAGACTGTTACCCAGGACAGCTCTTTCCTTGTCAACGTAAAACAGCACAAGTGGAGCCTCCTCCAGTGCAATCCCTTTATTCTGAAGGTAAAACAGCAAGGTTTTTTTCTTAACATGGGAGATGATGCTTATTTCTTCTCTTCTCATTTCAGTGTCACCCTCACTGTGAGTTCACTGGTAAATCTTGAGGCTGCATTAAAATATAACTTACTTACAGATCGTCTTTTCGCATCACCTAAATCCATCCATCTGCCTCTTGACTAAGCACTTCCCTCTGAGGGAAAAGAGAATGATGGCACCCTCCCATTTTATCTCAAAGAGAAAAAAACAAAAGGAAATTTGAGGTTGCAGAAATAGGAACTCACAGGGCAGAAGAAGTCCCTATAGGCTCCCTCTAGGCAAACACAGACTACACCCAAAAATGCTAATGCAGGAGAAGCATGATCATGTAAATGAGCGTCACATTAATTGTATTACTTGACCATCCTTGGCCAAGTTTTCTAATAAGGTCTAAATGGATAAACTAGATAAATAGCCAGCCTAAGTAGGTAGGTTCTTTTTATATCCTTTAGATTAACTAGCACACTTGGGGGCCTAAATTATTGGATACTTAATCATAAGACTATTCAACGGATGACCATATATCCTTTGTTCTCCTATCCCAAGTTTTCGCTTATAAATGGCATGATTACCCATGGTGGTGTCCTAAGAGTTTGCTCAGCAGTGTATTCAGTTGTTTGGTCAATGTTAGACACTATGGGGGAGAATTCTCCCTCTCCAGGCTGAAAGAACAGGGATGTCAATGTGTAGTAACTGTGCAGGTGGAGAAATCTGCATTCATAAGGGCTGTTCACAAATACTCCAGCTCTCCTCTTCCAGGCACACAGTAGGCCTGCACTGCTCCACCCTTTATAGTTGGAGCTGGTGATGTGACTGCACAGAGCTAGTGAAACATGAGCAGGAGTCTTAAAGGCCAATGTAGGATTTGCCACATTCCCTGCCCACTGCTACAGTGATCTTTAAAGTCTATGCCCAGATGGAGCCTCTGTCTGCTTAGGTGTCCGAGAGACTCCATGAAGTAGGATCTCCTGCGAGCCTGTAGTCTGAGATAGAAACGAGAGCTGTCCCACAACAAAGACATGAACTTTTGTAGTATTAAGCCACTGAGATCTTGGAGTTACTTAGTACTGTGGTGTAAGTTAGCCTATCCTAATATAGCAGCAACAAGTATTGCTAACTGCTCTTAAGAGAGGAACTAACCAACTGGTGTGACTAGTACGACTGATTGCTCATCAAAAGTGTGTGTTCCCAGGTGTTTTTTCCCATGAGTAAGAATGGATTTCACTGGCCAATTTGCCTTCTTCCATTTCTCAAAATTTACAACACACGTTTTTGAGATTAAAGACATAAAACAGACCTGCACCCAGAGATGCCCAGGCACGGGGGAATGTGGCCATATGACCTGGACACAGACTGGAACTGTGCCAAGGCACACCAAGGATTGCTGGTAACCACCAGAAGCTGGCTGAGAGGCAGGAACAGATGCTCCCTGTGAGGCCCCAAGGAGGAAGTAACCGTGCCACGGTGACTGAGGATGTGCGGCCTCCAGAATGCTGGAATAGATCACTGATGTTTTATGCTCCTGCGTTTGGGGCACTTTGTTACAGCAGCACAAGGGAACTAATACAGTGACTAATTGTATATTCCACCACTCCTTAGCCTGCTCGGCATTTTTAGGATATCTTTACAATGGTCTGTGCATTTCTGTACTTTAAACCTCCATGGTTTCCAGGCCTCTTCCCCAGTGGAGTAAAATAGAGTATGAGGACTAAATGTTTCTTTAGCCAAATAAGCCTCATCGAGATCAGAAGAAATGTCTTCTTTGTCTTTTAATCCCTCCTCTAACACCGTCTCAGAACCTAGCACAGCAGGCCTCCAAAATATTTGTTTAGAAAATTACAGAACAAACATTGCCATTATTCCTATTCTTCTGCACCACCCTAAACAGTGATTCAGGACAATTGAATTACTAAGGTTGTTAGTGTTGGCTCACTTCACGGCCAGTTACCAAACAATACACTGAGTCACTCTGGTAGCCAATCTAAATCAGCCCATCCATACATGGGGGCCAACTCTTCCATGGTCCACCAGTGCCATTCCCATCAATGATTACATCTGGTCAAGCCAAGGAACAGCCAGTCACAAGAGCCGGGCTTGGCGTATTGGAAGTAACACAGTATCATTAATCACCGAGGCCAGAACAAGACAACCTAACACTTAAGAGGCAAAAGTAAAAGTTAACCTGAAAAAGTGAGACTCCATGAAAACACAGCCCTACCGTCAATGGTTGTACGCACACACTGTATCCCTCAACAGGATTTCTGTTTATTCATTTGTTATTTGTTTTAATGAGTTGGCTCACAGGTAACGTATCTGCTGGCTTCCATATATGCTTGCATTTCTTTCCAAGCATAAGGCAAAGCCAGTTTTCTCATTTGGGCTTGGGAAGGAGTCCTAATTACCTTAAGAACCAGCACATTTCAATCTCATGAGGACTGATTTCACTGTGTTGAAATGCAACCAACACACAGATTTCTGTCTCACACACAGAGGAAGCCAACAGAAGGTCTTCCAAACTACTTAATGCCTGGGATGCACTCCAGCAACTTCATCACTTGAAATCATATCCCTAATAGGCAAACAAATGGCCCTTGAAGCATCCCTTTTACCATTGATCTTCCCCATTTGTGGTATTTGGGATGTTTTAATTAGTTTGGTTTTTTATCATTCCTTTAAGTATCTCAAGGCATCTGCTGGCATCCCACAGCTCTCAGGAGGACAGCCCCTTCCCTAGAGGTGGCTAGGAAATCTATATTCACTTTCAAAGTTCTATGGCTTTCTGAGACAAACAGTTCATCTTTTTCTTTCCTTTCCACCCCTGATCACTAACTGTTTAAGGGCTTAGCTAGTTCTCGGTACCCTAATCCACAGTAAATCTGAAACAAGGGAGTTATCCACTGAAGGCTAGACTGTGGCCATTCCTGTGCCTGTATCAGGAATGGACTGGTCACGAACTAGCTGGTGATCCACGCTGGGTTCCAGAAAAGGCCCCAAACGTCTCAGCATTTCCCCCACAGATCCTCAATGCAATGCAAAGTACCTGAGGGAGATAAAACCCTTTTATGAAGACACTTTTCCCACTACAGCATTGGTCAGGGCCCTGGAGTGACAACCATTTTTGTAAAGTCAGGAAGAGAAGGGCTCTGGTGGTACCTGGGTAGGCACAGAACCCAGAGCTAGAGGGGGATCCAAATAGAGTAGAGGGCAGAGTCCTCCCCTCTGAGCAGACACACATGGTTATCCCCATCGCTGAAATAAGACATCTGAGTCCCTTGAAGAATGGTACCCTGCTGAGCAGCACAAAGGCACTAGATACTTGAAAAATCATATGAGTAGAGGGCAGAAGAGAATAGGAAAGCGCAGTGGGAAGGCATGAAAATGTACCTGGCTCCTTCACGGGACACCCAGGGTCATCCCCCCGTGTGAAAATGCCAGTGCCTCCTGCAAACGTAACACAGTAAGCCACCACCAGTTATGGCCCCGAAGAGCTGAGACATGAAAGAGGTGTTTGCGGGAGGCGGACAGAGGTTTCTGGCCCCAGGGGCAGCACTGGGGTGAGAAACAGAGAGAGTCAGAGACACCGAGGGAGAAATGGGGAAAGAGCAACAGTAAAGCTCTTCTTCCTGCTTGGAAGCCGGTGCCTGCTTGGATTTCGTTCCTGCATTAGGAGACGTTGTTTGATGAGTAGTAGGGGGACAAGGTGGCCAGAAGGAAGTCAAAGCAGAGCAGAAAATCAACAAGTCAAAGATATTCTGTGCAGAATCCAGCGTTCCCAAACCTCTACGATCAGAGGTGTGCGGTTACACCCCTGGACCTGACCCACCCCGTGGGGGACCTGCCACGCATTGGTCAGGAGGATCTGCAGCCAAGGAACATAGTGCACTCCTGGAGCAGAGGCTTCTTTTTCTCACACACATGAGCTCCTGTGTTGTAGGGGACTTGGCAGTGTCAGGGCCAATGTCACGGCAATCGTCACGCCGCAAGATGGCAGCAGCAGCTTCAGGGGGCAGATCTCACACTGTGTTCATCCGCAGGAAGGCAAGGACCGGGCCGGGAAAGGTTCTCTTCAGGACCTTCCTCTTACCCAGGAGGAAAAACAACCTTTTCTAGAAGGTCCTGGTAGATTCTTTATATTCTTGTTGCTCTATTTCTTGGTCCCGACCTTAGAGAATGCGCCCCAATTCCCTAAAATTAACAGATCCCACCTGACGCCTGTCCCAAATGGGTGACCCCTGCTCCTTCCCCTGGGCGTGGAAGATGCGGGCGGTGGCTTTGGAGGTGCTAACCTCTGTCACTGATGAGATCCCAGGGTATACAGGGTGCTGCTGGATCAAAGCACAACCGTCAAGACCAGCGCAAGCAAGAGGCTGCCGGACCTGCCAGTAGAGGAAAGCATCCATCCCAGACACGCATCCTCTCCAAGTTTAGAAGCAAGAACTAGCCCTCCCAGAGGCTCCTTTGAAATTACTAGGAAATTAGAATTAGACTTTGTGCCTCTCCTAAGCCTTTCATCCCGGGAGCTCAGGGCACTTGCCTGCATCGCTCATTAATCTTCACAACACCAATTGAGGCAACCAGCATCTATTGTCATCTCTATTTTCACAATAAAGGAACTGAGATGCAGGTACAGGTTAATGATTTGCCTGATGTCATATTCTCAGGAAGTCACCAGCAAGCTAGGGATGGGACCAGAAGTGATGGGAAAATAGCTACCCCAACTCACTGAAGACCCTGGACAAGTATGTGGAGGTTTTTATTTACCCACAGAGCGTGAGTCCAGAAAGGTGACAGGATGGAATCATGGCAGAGCTCTGGGCAAGAGGTAAGAGGAGCAGAGTGCAAGCCATGATTCACTGGCCAGGCAACCTTGGGCAAGTCACCTGCACTTTCTGTAACATCTACCCCATATAAATCACTCAGCTGTTTCGAAACAAAAGGAATGTTTCAACAGAAAACAAGTAAGCTAGGACATGTTGCAAAAGCTAAGTCAATTGAGAGAATCAGTACAATCAACATTTAAAATCAGCCTGCTGCTCTGGGCTCTCGACAATCCCAAACTGCAACCAGACAATTATACAGGACTCTTCCTAGATGACCAAGAGGAGCCTGTTGCCATTCACTGTGCAGTGAGCCTTTTTCAGCACATATTGAATGGAATATGCTACCCGGGATGCAGGCATAACTAGGTGGGTGACCCATGTCCTCCAGGAAATACAGTCTGGCAGAAAAGACAGAAAAATGAACCAGTTATTTCACTGGGAAGCAAAATGAAATAAGACTTATAAAAGACAAGGAGGTCAAACGGCAGAGGGGTGGGAGATGGGCCAGGGGAGGTTGGGGCAGCCAGTGGGCTGGGGAGGCAGGTATGGAGAGGGGACGGTGCATAAAAGCTGAGACAGGAAAATGCCTTAGCTCTTCTTTTACTTCGGCTGCATCCATCATTCTCCCCTCTGAGAACAGCAAAGTCAAAGTGGTAGAGCAACAGAGGCTGAAGCCTGAATTTGCTTTGGTTAACATCTGGCGGCAAGGATATCTGCAGGGCACACATTTCCTCCGCGCCCCCTGGATGCGGCTCTGCTAGCAGTGTTTCTTTCGGCCACAGGAGGGCGCGTGTTCTCCTCCGCTGGTTTCTTCATTGCAGCAAGAGCTGCTCAGCTGGGGCTGCTGGCGTCGTGCCTCCAAGCACCTGCCTCCTAGAAGCACTGAACCAACAAACAGCGGGGGAACCTGGAACCCGGGCTCACAGGCACACCCAACGTCCAACAACATTTTATCTTTTTCAAACGAGCCAGTATAGACATTCAAAAACAAACAATTACTCTCCCATCAACATCCCGATGTATGTTGTTAGGACATGTAAGTAATCCCTAGAAAATTCCCAGACAGCGCGCTATTGGAAGACTGTCTGAAATAAATAAGCTCTGATGCATCAGGAGGTGGAAATAGCTTCTGTGGCTCTGGCAGCGAGATCCTCCTTGTCCCAGGCTTAAAACAGGGTGGTAACCAACTGACACAGGACACTGTCCTTCTCAGGGACATCTAGTGTGGTGCTAAGGGGGCCCAAGAAAGGAGGAGAAAGGGGCTTCCAGGTCTGAGACACTACCAGAAAGGGAAAGCAGTCACCTTTCATTTATTTTGTTTTGACCGTTAAATATTAAAATACCTGAAGGAAGGAAGCTATCCGGGCTGGCTCTGCAACGGAAGGAATTCCTAAATTGCACGAACATGGCTAGTCCCAAAGTCCCTTTGTTCTCTCCTGTAAACAGACCCACCCACCACCACCCTTTATTATTTCTCTCCAACGAATTGGAAAGGTTGGAAAATAAAGTGGGATGAAGCACTTGCAGCCAAACAGGAGCCTTTCATTTAAAACTCCCCCTCAGCATTAATGGAGGGCTGGATGTTTTTTTTGCCTCCTAAAAGTAAGTAATTCCATGATTTTGGGTTAGCCATTGGATTGGAGTAGCTTTTTGGGTAGGAACAGCCTAAATTTTCCTAAACTTCAAGATACACAAGAACTATCACAACATGTAAAGACAAAACTTACCAGCAGGCTAAAATTATCCCCTTCTCCTAAGGGAAGAGGAACCTCAGATTGTGAAAAAGATTTTCAAAACAACCTAATAGCTACATAGTAACATCCAAAAAAAGAATTTAAATAATCTGAGAGATGCTTGAGCTAAATCCATAACTTGTTCCAGGATATTTGTCAAGCAACATACCCCAAAATGTATTGTATATATTCATAGGTAGTGTCAAATAAATGCACTTACCACCACCACCACCACCACCACCATTATCAGATAAGCAGTTAACCAGCTAGAGGGGGTCTCTGACAGAGCACATAGTTAAAAGTTTCTAACCCCAAATTTTCCCCTTTATTTGCTAAGCCTGAGTCCCATTGTTTGGCACACTTGCTGGGACATGGATTGCCTTTGTGTTACTGACGACATTAGAGAAAATCTCTCTCCAGTCCCTCCCCATGTAGAACACTATGGATTAAATCTAAACCAGATTGTAGGTAGAATGTTTCCCTCTGTAAAACTGGGCTGAATCTTTTTCTAGGGACATCTCTAAGGATGCTATGGGCTAGGATGATAAACAATGATTCATGTGGCTTCCATAGTGGCCATACCCTCGCCATAAGGTTTATTCTTCTGAAAGCACAACCAATACCACCTGCTCTAAGGAGATTTGAAGCCAGAAACAGAGAGGAAAATTAATTTGAAGAATAAAGATTTATGTGTCAACTCCACTCATCTACAGCACCCAGTTGTTTGTGTCAAATACTAGCATAGGTGCTGCTGTGAAGATAATTTTGTAGATGTGATTAAGATTTATAATCTATCAGTGGACTTTCTGTAAAGAGGACTACCCTCAATAATGTGGGTGGGCCTCATCCAATAAGTGGAAGGTCTTATGAACAGACACTGAGGTTTACTAGAGAAGGAATTCTGTCTCAAATCTGCAACATCAGCTCCTACCTGTATTTTCAGCATGCTCGTCCATGCTACAGATTTCAGACTTGCCAGGCCTCACAAATGGAGTCAATTTCTGAAAATCTATGTGTATGTGCTTATATTTACAATTCTGTTTCTCTAGAGAACTATGATTGATACAGATTTCAAGTGAATCTATTTTATTTTTAAGGCTATCTAAATTAAAACAATGAAGAGATACTCAGAAATACTATTTTATATGATAGTAGGCACAGCATGGACTTCTGATTTTGTTTGGACACCCAGACCCTCCAAGCAGCCCACCCACATAACTGGAACCTGACCTGACTCCACTTCAGGGGTGGTCTTGATTGGCCGAAGGGTAATATGTTCCCTTGCCAGGGACTGGCTCATGGGGGAGGGTCACGTGATACAGTAAGGGCCAATAAGATACAGAAAGAGGTTTGGACTTCCAGTAAGGATTGTCCTTTTTCTTCTGAGGGGCTTTTCAGGAGCACGTATTATCTCTGATGTTGGGGAACAAGGAAGCAGTTAGCCCGGGGTTGGCACTGGCAACTGCCCCAGGGTGGGAAATAACCTGGGGTCCTGATGATTCTGTTGGATCCACCAGCTCTAAAGCCTGCACTGACTCTGGGCTTCTTTTAAGTGAGCCAATACATTTTTTATTGTGCAAGCCAGTTTGAGCCTGGATTCTTGTTAATTGCAGTCAAAGGACCAAGTTTTCTTGCCCTTAGTTTCTTACCTATAAACTGGGACAACAGAACTAGATAACCTAAGACCTTCTCAAACTCAGTATGTGTGAACTGCACATTCAGGCACTGATACTAAACGTATTTGCCAATTACTGTTTAGAGAATCTAAATATTACTATAGAGACATTTCTAAATATGCCTAATTTTTAGAAACTCGTGGATTATGAGTATAATTTGATGCAATTTTTTCCAGTGGCCTTAGATCTAGTCAATGACTATCAGCAATTAGAGCTCTCACTACTTTTTAAAATCTATAAAAAGCTGTAACAAATGAACAATAAGTAGAAAACGAACCTACTAGGGAAATGGGAAAAGGGTTACAGCAAGCAGTTCCCAGCAAAGGAAATACAAATGAATTTTAAACCTATGAAGAGATGTTCAACATCGTGACAAAGAGAGAAATGGAAATTAAAATGACAGTACGGTGGGTCTTTTTCACCTAAATATTGAGAAGTTATCAAGAAGTTAATAACACACTGCTGGAGAAAATAGAAGAAAATGGCAGCATTTGTACCAATGATGAGAATTATCACTGAAGACCAGCACTTACAGCAAAGGTAGAAATGACACAACTTTCAAGAAAGGTAATTTGGCATTATTTATCAAAATGACAAATGCATATATACTTTGACCCAACTACTCCTCTGCTAAAACTTTATCCTATAGGTCTACTTACCCATGTATAAAATGACATTACTTGTAATTGTAATAATGAAACAATTTAAATATGTATCAATAGAGCAAAGATTAAATTATATACATGTATACAAAAGAATAATTCCCAACTGTTAAAGAAATATGGCAGCCCTCTCAGCAGTAAAATGGAATCATCTCTAAATTATATGTTAAATAAAAAAGATCAAGATGAACAGACCAATTACCAGCAATGAAATCAAATTGGTACTCAAAAAATTACCTAAGAACAAAACGCCTGAACCACATAGCTTCACCACTGAACTTTATCAGACATTTAGCGAAGAGCTAATACATATCTTCCTTAAAATTTTCCATAAAGTAAAAGAGGAGGGAATACTTCCAAACTCCTTCTGTAAGCCCAGCATCACTCTAATACCAAAACCAGACAAAGATATCACAAAAAAAGAAAATTACAGACCAATGTCCTTGGTGAACATAGATGCAAAAATCCTCAACAAAATATTCGCAAACCAAATTCAAAAATACGTCTAAAAGATCATCCATCATGATCAAGTGGGATTTATTCCAGGGATGCAAGGATGGTACAATATTAGGAAATCCATCAACATCATCCACCACATCAACAAAAAGGACAAAAATCACATGATTATCTCCATAGATACTGAAAAAGCATTTGACAAAATTCAACATTCACTCATGATAAAAACTCTCAACAAAATGGGCATAGAAGACAAGTACCTCAACATAATAAAGTCCATATATGTCAAACCCACAGCCAAAATGATACTTAATAGCAAAAAGCTGAAAGTTTTTCCTCTAAGATCAGGAACAAGATAAGGATGTCTACTCTCTCCACTTTAATTCAACATAGAACTGGAGGTCCTAGCCACAGCAATTATACAACACACAGAAATAAAAGGGATCCAGATTGGTAGGGAAGAAGTTAAACTGTCACAGTTTGCAGATGACATGATATTGTACATAAAAAACCTTGACTAATCCACCCCAAGACTACTAGAACTAATAACTGAATTCAGCAAAGTTGCAGGATACAAAATTAATACACAGTAATCTGTTGTATTCTTACATACTAATGATGAACTAGCAGAAAGAGAAATCAGGAAAACAACTCCATTTGCAATTGCATCAAAAAGAATAGAATACCTAGGAACAAACCTAACCAAGGACATGAAATACCAATATCCTGAAAACTACAAGACACACATGAGAGAAATTAAAGAGGACACCAAAAAAGGAAATACATCCCATGCTCATGGATAGGAAGAATTAATATTGTCAAGATGGCCATCCTACATAAAGTAATCTACAGATTCAATTCAATCCCTATCAAAAAACCAATAACATTCTTCAAAAACTAGAACAAATAGTTCTAAAATTCATATGGAATGACAAAAGACCCTGAATAGACAAAGAAATCCTTAGAAGGAAGAATAAAGCTGGGGTGATTATGCTCCCCAACTTCAAGCTCTACTACAAAGCCACAGTAATCAAGACAATTTGGTACTAGCACAAGAACAGACTCATAGATCAATGTAAAAGAACAGAGAGCCCAGATATAAACCCAAACATACACAGCCAATTAACATATGATAAAGGAGCCATGGATATACAATGGGGAAATGACAGCCTCTTCAACAACTGGAGGTGGCAAAAATGGACAGCTACATGTAAGAGAATGAAGCTGGATTACTGTCTAACTCCACACAAAAAAGTAAACTCAAAATGAACCAAAGACCTGAATGCAAGTCAGGAAACCATAAAACTCTTAAAAGAAAACATAGGCAAAAATATCTTGAATATAAACATGAGCAATTTTTTCCTGAACACATCTCTTCAGGCAAGGGAAACAAAAGCAAAAATGAACACATGGGACTACATCAAACTAAAAAGCTCCTCTACAGCAAAGGACACCATCAGTAGAACAAAACGGCATCCTACAGTATGGAAGAATATGTATGTAAATGACATACCTGCTAAAAGGTTAACATCGAAAATATCTGAAGAACACACACACCTCAACACCCAAAAAACAAATAACCCGATTTAAAAATGGGCAAAGGATATGAACAGACAACTCTCCAAAGAAGAAATTCAGATGGCCAACAGACACATGAAAAGATGCTCCACATCACTAATCATCAGGGAAATGCAAATTAAAATCACAATGAGATATCACCTCACACCAGTTAGGATGGCCAACATCCAAAGACAAAGAACAGCAAATGCTGGTGAGGATGTGGAGAAAGGGGAACCCTCCTACACTGCTGGTGGGAATGTAAGCTAGTTCAACCATTGTGGAAAGCAGTATGGAGGTTCCTCAAAAAACTCAAAATAGAAATACCATTTGACCTGAGAATTCCACTCCTAGGAATTTACCTGAAGAAAACAAGATCCCTGATTCAAAAAGACATATACACCCCTATGTTTATCACAGCACTATTTATAATAGCTAAAGAAGGTATTGTACATACACACAGGGAATATTACTCAGTCACAAAAATAAAACAGATCTTACCATTTGCAACAATATGGATGGAGCTAGAGGGTATTATGCTCAATGAAATAAGCCAGGTGGAGAAAGACAAGTACCAAATGATTTCACTCATTTGTGGGGTGTAACAATAAAGCAAAACTGAAGGAACAAAACAGCAGCAGACCCACAGACTCTAAGAAGGGACTAGTGGTTACCAAAGGGAAAGGGTTAGGGAGGGTGGCTGGGGAAGGAGGGAGAAGGGGATGAAGGGGCATTATAATTAGCACTCACAATATAGATAGGTCACAGGGAAGGCAGTACAGCACAAAGACATGACTCTATAGCATCTCACTATGCTGAGGGACACTGATTGCAAAGGGGTGTGGGGGGGACTTGATAATATGGGTGAATGTTGAAACCACAACCTTCAGAAGCTTGTGTATCAATGATCCCTTAATTTTTAAAA